ACTCGAAGTACTGAAGGTGAGCCTCTGAACTCGAAGTACTGAAGGTGGAGCCTCTGAACTCTAAGTACTGAAGGTGGAGCCTCTGAACTCGAAGTACTGAAGGTGAAGCCTCTGAACTCGAAGTACTGAAGGTGAGCCTCTGAACTCCTCCACCCAAAGGACTTCCTTCCAGGGCATATTTTTCAATCCATTAATAATGCTTCCTTTATGTAGAATTCTAGGTAATTTGCAAATAAACTCAGTACTCCAACTCCATTCTAAAATGCAAAGCTACTAAGATGACTCTAAGTTACTTTCAGTCTTAACAGGTATTATCTTTGTCTTTCAGATTTCAATACTTAAAAGAAATCAACAGCCAATGCTACCCACACCCCACTGCCATCAAGTTGATTCCAACTCATAGCAACCCTACAGGACAGAGCAGAACTGCCCCATAGGGTTTCCAAGGCTATAATCTTTCAGGGAGTAGAATGCCACATCTTCTTGCCGCGGAGCAACCTTTCAGTTAGCAGCCGTGCGCTTTAACCACTGTGCCACCAGGGCTCCTTTAGCCAATACTAATCTATGCTAAATACTGAGAACATTCAACCCAGTCATCCAAATGCCCACACAAGGGAATAAGACAACACCTTTAAATTGCTGGTTACTATTTCCATAGTTCTTTCTAAACAAAGAAAAGTAGGCTCTTTATTATTATATTACTCTAAACCAAAAACCCATTGTCGTCGAGTCGATTCCGACTCACAGTCACCCTATAGGACAGAGTAGAACTGCCCCAGAGGATTTCCAAGGAGCACCTGGTGGATTTGAACTGCCGACCTTTTCGCTAGCAGCTGAACTCTTAACCACTGTGCCACCAGGGTGTGAAAATAAATTCTAATATTGTTATATTTAGACAAATGACAGTGGAAGCGTGAAGGGTAGCAGTAGGTATGGGAACACCGTTCTCTCTTCCCCCCCTTAAAGAGTTCAGAGACAATGGAGGAAGACGGAGCGGACACAAAATTACTGACCTGACTGACGTCATTAGAACTCACATGTTGTAGGTAAAATAGTTAGAGTGGAGGTGACAGAGCTAGAGTAGTCTGTATAGGATATGCATCTGAAGATTCAGTTTCTAAAATAACATCTTCATGCTTAGATTCATATTTACACATGGTGGTACTTTGCTTATATATTTTATAGCCAAGATGCAGAAATACTAACACATATAAAACATTCTATCTATATGATAAAATTATTTCATGTAATTTATATATGCTTCATAGCCTTGTAAGATATTTCTTATAGTGGCTACTCAATTTTATTTTGGAATAAAATAATTTCTGAAAGAAGAAAATCTGCAAATATTCTCTTACTTTTAGTTTGAAATTTTTGTTCAGTTTTTTCTAAATTAAACCAAAGATTCTAAGATACAAGTATAGGTTTCCAAAACAATTTTTGGTAAAGAAAGACTTATTTACCCATTTCTATTACCCAAATGTACTATTCGAATTTTTACAAAACTTTTAGTACGATCCAGAAGCAGATTAACAGCAAGACTTAAAGTATAATCTTCAGTTCTGGAGAAAGACAAGTTTTTAGGTGCCACAAATAATAGTTTTTCAAAAATATCTATGTGTTACACCATACTGGAACATTTATCTGTACTATTATACTACTACTGAGAAGTATTTGTTCACATTTATCTGTACGACACTGACAAAAGGGCAGTTCTCTAATTCAAGAAGATACTAAATCTCCAGAGTTGGGATAAATCAAAAATTCATTATGATCTTTACTGGTTTAACCATTTGATATCCTGACTGTACACTTTCCTTTATGAGAACAAGCATCAGGCCACAGACTAATTTAACTTCAGCTATACAATGCTTGTAAATGAGCTGGAACACAGAAACATCTCTGCTTTAGCACACGGTTTTGGGGAAGGATTATCCTTCAGTGTATACCAGGTGCAAGTATATGGCTGGAGGGAGGGAACAATGCCGACAACAAAGGAGTGGAGAAACAGATGTGTCCTTTAAAGGAGGAACAGGTCACATCTATTAACTAATTCCTTCACAAACTCTGAACCTTGGGTCCTGTTCACAGACATCCCGGGATGAGAGGGAATAGTCTTAGTTTCTCTTTCTGTTTAGCAGCAAGATACTGACTGCTGCCCAATTTACCAACCTTAAAGACAATATGGGATCGAGCTTCAAATCGGACGCAGCATTCTGAAGCAATTACCTGCTGCCTGACTCCACCACTTCACTGGTCAGTCCAGAAAGGAGAACTGAAGCTAACTCAAATACTTGGGGAAAAAGAGACTAAAACATGTCAAATAGGCTTCCTAAGAAATCATGTCTCATTGCATACTTAAACACGAGTGTTCCCAGCTCAGTAAACCTCTTATGCAAAAATAATCTAACATTTAAAAAAAAATCTGTCATTATTTATATTACTTAGTATATAAAAGGAAATAAAATAGAGATCAAGTATTTATTAAATATTTGCTAGGTTATCTAAAAATAAAATCACCATCCCGAAGCATCCTAATTTTAACTTTTACTAACTTCTTAGGTTTTCTCAATAGCTCATCAAAACAACAACAAAAACCTCCCTTCAAAAAACTATAAATACATAGGCCTGTAAATTGGAAGGCAGAGAAATACCACCTTCAAAGAGTTCACTTTAATTACAGATTGGTACTGCCATTTCTAGGAACACTGGTGATGTTAAAACAATACACCAAGACCCATGACCAATATGTACACTTGTAATGATACTGGTGAACTATTTTTTTGATATTTTGTCAAGTAGATACGTTTACTTTTACAAAATGTTTTGACGAACCACGCTAAAAACTATACAAAATTTGAAAACATAATTTTAACAAAGTTTAATGTGAAAAGGGGAGACATCAAAGTTGATAAAAGTCCTTTGGTTTTCTTATAAATGGTATCCTTATAATTCCTCAGCTTTCAGAGCATGAAGTATTCTTCTCGGAAAAAGAGAACGATTACAGATTGTCCTTCCTGCACCGCGTGTCCGACTAACTTGTGGCCCCGGGCTGGCTGTCAGCTGACCCGTCGCTCTCCTTGTCCCAGTCTCTCATAGATGCTCCCATCATGAAATCATCACGGAAGATGTTCCATCCCGGACTCTCTTCTGATTTTACTTCAGTCTGAGGGAAATTACAGAATTGAAATATTCAGGCAATTTAAACAAAAGGAAATAAAAGAAGTCCACGCCACAAAAACTCTTCAACACCTGGTTTTACATGAGTGGTGAAACCAAGCCAAATTACAGATTGACTTTATTTGTACACTACGATCATATACGCACAAATGTGTAATAAAGAGATACATGTCAATAAAACGTTTTAACAACCCCATAAAAGAAATATGGAAGCAAAAAAATGAAACCATAACTTTTTCTTTTTTTGTGGTGGAACTCTATATAGTCAAACTCAGGCTTGGCATCAATTTTTAAATCTTTTGACAACCAAGAGAGATTCACAATACTATTTAACCTTCAATGATAATTTACCAGAAAACTTCTGGCAAACTATTCCGGCATGAACAGAAATTTAACAAAGACCTTCCACCCAAAATAAATTAGGGGAAAGAAAACTGGCTGGTATTGTGCTAGATTTGTAGAGATGTTATCTCACTGAACAGTTTATAAAAATTTAAACCAAACAGCCTTTATTTAGGTATGCTCTCACAAACACATGCCAAAATTACAAATAACTGAAGCAGGCAATAAACATAACACATACTAAGTTCATTTCATTCATTCATAAGACTTCTGTAATACTGCATAAGCGAGCCTAAGAGCTGCAGGCTCCAATTGGTGGTGCAACAGTGCCACCTTGTGGTGTGAATGAAATAATACAACATACACAGAACTGCTCTCAGCAATGACATTTCTTTCATGCACTCCACAATTTATTGAGAACTAACTGTGTCTCAAAGGAGCCCTGGTGGTGCAATGGTTAAGCACTCGGATGCTAACTGAAAGGTTGGCAGTTTGAACTCACCAGTGGCTCCGCAGGAGAAAAGACCTGGTGATTGGCTCCCATAAGGATTACACAGCCTTGGACACTCTATGGGGCAGCTTTAGTCTGTCCTATAGGGTTAGCTTCGAGTCGGATTCGACCAGATGGTACACAGAAATAACAACAACAACCGTGTCTTAAGCACTGTTTGCTCTCAGTGCTAGAAGTATAGTGAACAAAACCAAGTTCTCGTCTTCATGCAGCTAACAGTCTATGCATGTCTGTCTATTCCACTCACAGAAAACACAATGGGAAAAACCATTCCAGATACGCAAACATCCCCTGACCATTTGCTGAGGAAATGTTATTTTTATGGGGACTATAAGTCATGTAAAAAAGCAATTTTTAAAAGATGTTAAAGATATTTGCTGGGCTACAAGAGATTACTTACCTAACTCCGCTGAAGATTCCCTTTATTTTGAAAAATATGGCCCCTAAAACACTCATTCAACTTAAAAAAAAAAAAAAAAAAGATACTACTACAAATAGAAAAAATATCCAGTTGGCCGACTTCTGTCTTCCGGGGTCAAAGACTCAAGGAGGCCTTGCACTCAAGGATGACCTGAGCACCGGATCGCATACAAACATGAGCGACCATTTCAGAACTGACTTACTAGTAAGTCAAATATCCACATCCTTTGTACTATACTTTAACCTACGTAAAGAAACAAAAAACATCTGTGCTATTTAAAAACCAACAGTAAAACAGTTCCGTTGCTTCTCGTGGCACACTTAGAGGGGAGCAAGTACGTGGGAAGTAAGTCATAGCTCTCCTCAGGAAGTACGCTAACACCTCCACACCCCTTGTTTTCGCAACAGCAACCCTACACTTCTCAAACGACTTCTATTCCCATTAGATTAAGTTACCCGACTGGATAAAAGTCCATTTTCTCTGATTCAACCTCAAGTTTTCTTTGCCAATATCCTCACCTTAAATGAGAAAAAGCTGTTTCCAATGAACAGAGATCCACTTAGACCCAACAATTATAGTACCTCTTGTGTCTAATTGGAAACCCTGGTGGAGCAGTGGTTAAGAGCTATGGCTGCTAACCAAAAGGTCAGCAGTTGGAATCCACCAGGTGCTCCTTGGAAACCCTATGGGGCAGTTCTCCTCTGTCCTATAGGGTC